TTTTTTTTTTTTTTTTTTAATAATAGCCATCCTAAGAAGTGTGAGGTGATAGTGCTTTGTAGTTTTAAATTGCATTTCTCTTATGATTAGTGATGTTAAACATTTTTTCATATATCTGTTGTTCATTTGTATGTCTTTTTTTGAGAAATGTCCATTTAGGTCCTTTTCTCATTGGGTTTCTGTTTCCTTGCTATTGGATTGTTTGAGTTCCTTATGTATTTTGCATATTAATCCTTTATCAGAAGTATTGGTTGCAAATAATTTTCTCCCCTTTTGTAGATTGTCTCGTCACTCTTTTGCCTGTTTCCTTTGCTGTACAGAAACATTTTAAGTTGGTGTTATCCCATTTTTATTTTTGTTTTTGTTGCCTTTGCAGACAATTTAACTTTTTCCTTTCCAGTTGGGTTACATTTTATTTCTTTCTCTTGACTACTTGTTCTGGCTATGACTTCCAGTACTGTGTTGATTAGTCGTGGTAAGAGTGGGCATCCTTGTTTTGTTCCTGATCTCAGAAGGAACTCTTTTAACTTTTCACCGCTGAGTATCATGCTAGCTGTAGATTTATCATATATGGCCTTTACTGTGTTGAAGTACATTCGTTCTATACCTAATTTGTTGAGCATTTTCTCAAATGCTTTTTCTGTGTCTATCTATCAAGAACAAAGGGCTTTTGTTCTTCGTTCTTTTAATGTGGCATGCAACATTTATGGATTTGTGATGTAGAATCATCCTTGCATCCTAGAAATAAATTCCACCTGATTATGATGTATGATGATTTTCGCTGTATGTGTTGAATTTGGTTTTTGTATTCATGTGCATCAGTGATATTAGCCTGTGATTTTCTTGTAGTGTCCTTGTCTAGCTTTGGTATCATGGCAATATTAGCCTTATAAATGAGTTTGGATGCATTCCCTTTTCTTCAATTTTTGGAAGCGTTTGAGAAGGATTGACAGTATTTTTTAAATGTTTGATGGAATTCAAGAGTGAAGCCATCTGGTCCTGGCTTTTTTGCTAGAAGACTTTTCATTACCGATTCAATTTCCTTACTTATTATCAGTTGGTTTAGATTTTCAGTTTTTTAATGATTCAGTCTTGGTAAGTTGAATGTGTCAAGGAATATATCCATTTCCTTTAGGTTTATAATGGTTCATCATTATAGCCAATTTTTTGGCTTATAATGATTCATCATTATCTCTTATGATCCTTTGTATTTAAATATTGTTGGTTGTAGTATATCCTCTTCTCTCTCTCTCTTTTTCTTAGCATCCTGTTCTAATAATGAATGTAATGCCTATTCAATTCTCTCTGAGGTGGGGTGATCGTTTGTCTTGTTTTTTAGGGAATAGCTATAGTTTATGTCTATTTTCCTGGTATATTAATAGCTTAGTATAGTGTTCCCAAAATTGTTCATAGTACAATGATAAGTTATATAGTGACTTTACTCTGAAGATATTGATGAGTTTTTTAAAAAAAATTCTCTTCTGTTCTTGAATTATTTCTATTTTTTCATTTCAAATGTCATTTCATAACATTTTCTGGTTGTTTTATGACCTTTGTTGGCCATTGATATTTAAGAACGAGTAGTTAGGAATTAGGAGGTCTGGATACATAGAGAAAGCTTGTGTATCTGTGGGTACCAATAGCTACCAGCTGTGCTGGTTCTTGGGCCATTTGTGTTCTTTTCTTTTTTCTTTTTTAATGATGCTAATTTCTAAGTTGTCATGCATTCTGTGTGTGGGGATGGGAGTAGCGAGCAATCATTCCATATGTAGATCCTTAATCAGTCTTCCTTTTTCTGCTCCAGTTATTGGTCCTTTCCTTTGCCTTACCTGCCAACTCAGATCCAGAAATTCTCCCACATTTTGCCTGGGCCAGCTAATCAACAATGACAACTGCAACAAAAAAGTAGCCAGGCATTGTGGTGGGTGCCTGTAGTCCCAGCTACTTGGAAGGCTGAGGCAAGAGAATTGCTTAAGCCCAAGAGTTTGAGGTTGCTGTGAGCTGTGATACCACCTCACTCTACCAAGGGCAGCATAGTGAGACTCTGTCTCAAAAAAAAAAAATTGTCAACTTATATGCCCACTGGCTATGTATGACATATATGATTTTTCTATGTGATTTCTATGTGTCCTATGTGATTTTTCTACATAGGACACAAATACTTTCCCTACTTAAATATTAGTAGTTTTATTCATTATCATACACACATGCACATACTTATGTGTATACATGTATGTGTATGATTGTACGTCTATAATCATTCTTACTTACAGAATATATTATATCTTACAGAATATGCCATATGAACACATTGACTTGTCATACTTAAATGAGTTTGCAAACAGACACCTCTAGTAAGCCCACTCCTCAATATAATTTTCTTCACTTCTCAGGTGCCTGCAGGAACATCACCCACAGCCAGTGTCTGGTGTTGCCCTACAACACCACACTAGAGCCACTCCTACCAATTGTCAAATACATGGACATGGAGAAGTTCCTCAAGTTCTTCACGTACCTCCACCGCCTTGGTTGCTATCAGCATATCATGCTATTTGGCTGTAGCCTTGCCTTCCCTGAGTGCATCAATGATGGCGATGACAGGTATTTTGGAATCCAAATCATTTGGTGATAAGAACCCGTTATAGCAGAAATGTCTGAGAGGAACAAAAATCATCCCACATTCTCACTTTTCATTTTTGTTGTTATTAAAGAAAAACCCCTCCAATAGCCAGTTGTAATTGTTTGAAACTAGAAATGTTTTGAAAACCTGGAATAATTTTATTTATGGGGAAAAACTATTTGGTATGTCAGATTAGTGGTGTCAGAGTGATATGCGGTAGTTGTTCCAGTAGGGTCTGGCAGGTGACAGACAACACACTGACAGGGTGATAAGAGAGTTTATTGAAGAGACTATTTATGGAGTGGACAGGGTTAAGAGAATACAGAACTGATGGGAGGCACTAAGGTCTCATGATGGGGGGAGGCAGTTCTACCACCCAAGGCTTAAAGGGGAAAAAGGACCAGTAGCACCTGGAGGGAGTTGTACCAGGCAAAGAGTCTCTTACGGGCCAAGTGCCACGATCCTACACAGTAGAACACAGCCACTGTCGGCCTCTGAGTCCTGCAGGAGGAGAGGAGAAGGACCAAACACCTGATCTTACATTCTTGCTGCCCTCCCATCAGCCAGCACTTCCTACCAACTGAACTCAGTCCCATCCAGAGGAAAGGGGCACACAACTGAGGTGAGCACAGTGCATGAGATCCAGAATGCTCATCTAAATAGCATCAGCTCAAAAGTCTCAAATCTTACCATCTAAACCAAACATGGGTGAGATTCTGGATGGTTCTTCTGCTCAGCAATGGAGCCTAGAGCAGGGCAAGGAGCATATATCAGGGGACAGAGACTGTCTGGCACGGTATCAAACAGGACTAGAAATAATTTTCAAAAAGAGTAAGTCAATCGAAAGTATGAAATGGCAGCTGGCCATTGGGGTGGATACCTATAGTTTCAGCTACTCAGGAGGCAAAGAGGATTGCTTCAGCCCAGGAGTTTGAGATTACTATGAGCTGTGGTGAATCCACAGCACTCTACTCAGGGCAAAACCCTGAGACTATGCTTCAAAAAAAAAAAAAGAAGTATGTCTTATAAGCTGAAGCAAGTTATCCAGAAGATCTAATGGAGATAATTGATGAGGGTGACTATATTAAACAATTGATTTTCAGTCTAGATGAATCATCCTTCTATTGGAAGAAGACCCTTTCTAGGACTTACATTGTTAAGGATGAGAAGTCAGTGCTTGGCTTCAAAGCTTCGAAGTACAGACTGTTTTGTGAAGGGCTACTGCAGCTGGTAACATTAAATTGTAGCCAATGCTCACTTACCATGCAAAAAAAAAAATTAGGACCCTTAATAAGTATGCTAAATACTAGATGACAACACATTTCTTTATAGTATGGTTTACTGAATGTTTTAAGCCCACTGTTGAGATCTCCAGATCAGAAAAAAGGACTCAAATATTACTGCTCACTGACAATGTACCTAGTCATTCAAGAGCTCTATTGGAGATGTACAAGGAGATTAATGTTGTTTTTATGCCTCTGAACACAGTATCTATTCTGAAGCCTATTATTTAGGATTAATTTTGGCTTTCAAGTCTTCTTCTTAGAAATATATTTCATGAGGCCATAGCTACCATAGTGATTTCTCTGATACATTTGGATGAAGTAAATGGAAAGCTTTCTGGAAAGGATTTCCCCTTCTAGATGTCAGTAAGAACATTTATGACCCATGAGAGGAGGCTGAAATACAAATATTGAAGGGAGTTTGAAAGATGTTCATTTCAACTCTCATGGACGACTTTGAGGGGCCTAAGACTTCAGTGAAGGAAAACTGCAGATGTGGTAGGAATAGAAAGAGAACTAGAATGAAAAATTGAGCCTTCAGTCATGACTGAATTGCTTCAATCCCTTGATAAAACTTGCCTGGATGAGGAGATGCTTGTTCTGGATGAGTGAAGAAATTGGCTTCTTGAGACAGGATCTACTCCTAGTGAATATGCTATGAACATTGTTGAAATGGCAATAAAGGATTCAGAATATTACTTAAACTTTTATAAAGGACCAGCAGTATTTGAGAGGATTGATGGTGATTTTGAAAGTTCAACTGTGAATAAAATGCAATCAAACTGTGTCACATGTGACAAAGAAATTTTTCATAGACGAGCCAATTGATGCAGCAAACTTCATTGTTATCTTTCTTTAAGAAAGTGCCCCAGCCACTGCCGTCTTCACCAACCACTGTCCCGATCAGTCAGCAGTCTTTAATACTGAGGCAAGACCTTGCACTAGCAAAATGATTATGATTCTTTCTAGGTTCAATGTTTGCTAGCAAATTTTTAGTAATAATGTATTTTAAAATTAGGGCATGCACATTTTTAGACATATGCCACTGCACACTTAATAGTGTAAACGCAATTTTTATATGTACTGAGAAACAAAAAATGTATATTTTTCCTTATTGAAATTTCACTTTATTGCAGTGGTCTGGAAATGAACCCACAATATACCTGAGATTTGCTTATCCTGGTACAATAAACACAGGAGGGCAGAGATCTCTTCCACATACTGATTTCATTTACTTTGGAGATATATATATATATATATATAAAAAATATATATATAATTCTATATATATAAAAAATATATATAATCACTACTGGCGTTGCTGGATCACATGGTAGTTCTATGTTTAACTTTTTGAGGAACTTTCATATTGCTTTCCATAATGTAATTTACATTCTAACCAACAGTGTCCAAGTGTCCCCCTTTCTCCATATCTTTGTCAATACTTGTTATTTTTTTCACATTTTTGTTAATCACAATTCTAACAAGAGAGAGATAATGTCTCACTGTGGTTTTGATTCACATTTCCTGAAAAGTAGTGATGTTGAAATATATACTTATTTATCCCCCCAAATAAGACACTGTCTTATATTTATTTTTTCTCAAAAAGACACACTAGGGCTTATTTTCAGGGGATGTCTTATTTTTATTAAGTATAATACAACAATCTACATTTATTCAAATACAGTTAAGTCATCTTCTTCTGGAACCTGACAGGGCAAGCTGACCTTGGTGGTGGGGCTGGCGCTAGTGATGTGTGAACTCCTTTCCCCTAGCTGTTCGCATGTGCACAATAGGATGCCTGCGACTGTGGTTACCACACCTGCACTTGCACGCCGCAAGTGCAAAGGGTTAGAAAGGAGCTGTGGCAGATAAAAGGTATTCCAGTCTTCCTTACCACTCCCCTTGGAAATGCAGGGCGTGGCTATGCAGATACGCTGCATAGCCACACCCATCACTAGATCTATTACTGGGTAGGGCTTATTTAACAAATGCATAGAAATCCTGCTAGGGCTTATTTTTTGGGTAGGTCTTATTTTCGGGGAAACACGGTGTGTGTATATATGTGTGTGTGTGTGTGCGTGTGTGTGTGTGTGTGTGTGTGTACCTGTTGGCCATTTGTATATCTTTTTTCAAAAAATGTCTATTGAGATACTTTTGCCATTTTAAAATTAGGTTTTCTTGTTATTGAGGTATTTAAATTCTTTGTATATTTTGGATACTAATTCTTTATCAGATGTATAGTTTACATATATTTTCTCCCATTCCATAGGCTATCTTTTCACTCTGTTGATTGTTTCCTTGGCTGTGCAGAAATAGTCTTATTTGCCTATTTTTGCTTTTGTTGCTTGTGCTATTGAGGTTATACTCTCCAAATCATTATGTAGCGGAAGTTTTCCCCTATTTTTTGTTCTAGTTGTGTCATAGTTTTGGGTCTTATGTTTAAATATTTATTTCTTTTTGTTTTTGCTTTTTTAATTGTTTTGGGTTAAGGTTTAATTTTATTCTTCTGAATGCTTATATACAGTTTCTCCAACACTATTTATTGAAGAGCTGTTCTTTGCCCACTGCATGTTCTTGACCACGTCATTGAGAATTAGTTGTCATGAATTTATTTATGGGATTTCTATTCTGTTCTGTCAGTCAGTATATAGACTGTAACAGTCTAGAACATACTATTTCAGTTACCATAGCTTGGTAGTGTATTTTGAAGTTGGGTAGTGTGATGCCTCCAGCCTTGTT